ACATTTCAGGGCCAATAAGTGCTTTCTAGTGGTATTGTGGGCACAATGATGTCACAGGGGCACCATGCTACCATATAATTGTCTTCATTCTTTTTGATTCCTTTCAGAAATATATTTAAATGTCACATCTGGAGCTAAAAATCTTGAATCACAGTTATTTGATATTTTATCTACTTTTGATGCTTTAGTCCCAACATTTTATCTGCAACACTGGTTTCTCTACAGCATATAAATTATTCTAACAAGTGGTTGGGCTTGTTACAGACTGTGCCAGCCCCCACAGTCAATCATATATTTTTGACCGGGAAAACATGCAAAAAGAAGCAACCAAAATAATCAAAGAACTATAATTTTTACAATAATTCCAAACAACCTGTGCACTTTTGATAGTTTCAGAAGTATAGATTGATATTTTAAACTTCTTCAAGATTGCTTTCATATTTTTTTAGTTTTCAAACATTTCTGATACAGATTGCAAAAATTGTTTATCTGGTTAAATAGGCTAACTCCAGTAATAAGATATTTTCTTGTAAGCAGCTAAAGCAAGGAGGAGGATGTACCCAGATCCTTTAAAAAGCCCCTAAAGACTTTAAGGGAAAGAGCATAATCAGATGTACAATATGTCTGAATGTTTTAGAATTCTGGATTGTCTGGAATAAGCAAACATGGTTGTAACACATTGCTAAATCATTTCCTCTTGGAAGAAAAACTAAACAAATCATGAATCCTCCATCCTTGGTTTGTTTAGCATTCTTTCCAAACCAGCATCCCTGGTTTGTTTCTCAATTAACAAGCCAGAATAAAAACAGAGTTGTATAAAAAGTTCTATCATGACCAAAGTCTTCCATCATTTTTTCAAGAATTTAAATTCAGGTTACTTCTCAATAAGGCTTGCTGCCACAGATATGGAAACAAAATCAGGATCTACCAGCAGCAGCAAAACAAGTCAGACCATTTTCTTATGCATCTACTTTCTGTTTCCATGGAAATGGAAAGACACAGGGGAAAAAAAAATATACATCCAGTTTTTTCCTGTCTCAGACTGTCTTTGATATACAATCATGAGGGAGGGGGGGAGCCGTTGAAAGGAACAAGAAGAAAGGAGTAAGAATATGGTATCATATTTCATCAAAAAACTGGCAGAGGCTACAAAAAACAGCTACTGAACAATTTCCACAATCACTTAAAGAAGGGATTCTCAAACCATGGGTTGCAACCCTCCAACCAGTTTACACTCACTCCCACTTTACTGGCACTGGACTGGGCCATGTGAATGATTCAGGTACCAGGCTTCTTGTTTGACAGCCTTTGTGCCCAGAGCTCCCACAACAGACCCAATTGAACCCCCTGCCCACCAGGAATATAATTAGGGAATGATGGATGAGGGGAAGGTGAAACTAGGCAAAACACCTTGATCCTGGGCAAGTCATTCTGGGAAATGCTCAGGAGCAGGTGGGAGCTGTTGCAGAGGCTGTTCCCATGAGTACAAGGTCATCAAAAGAGAGCCCCAGCCCTGGGAGCACATTCTGGCAGTTCTAGGTATGAAAGCCTGGCTTGCCTACACACGCTGGATCACTGCCACAACACACTCCTACTTCACCAGGAGCAGCCAACAGCTGTCTTGTCCAGGCAGGACAGAAATTTTGTCTGAGAGCATGGTCCAAGAGTTTTTGTTATGGGAGAGGAGGATCACACAAATTCATTTATTATTTTAGGAAGTCATGGCATCACAAAGTTAGAGGATCTTTGATTAAGTGATTTGTAGAGTTTCAGAGCTGCAGTGTGTTAGGAAGATTGATCTGTATTTGCCAACAAGTAGAAGGTGTGAAGAGCTATACAAGGAACTTCTATAACAGATATTACAATTTGATTACACAAATCATCTATTGCTACTGATGGAACTCAGAGATCATGTATGAAAAGTCCCAAATCCAGTTCCTAGCTTTTTATCAACAGGCTCTCAGATGGTGGGACTGAGAAAGTCTGCTGTTTTAGACCATGGACACCTGCTACCAAATCAAATCATAAACATACTAATGACAAGTAAGCTATTCTTATAGATTAATAATAAGTATTCAAGTAATTTTCTAATTTCTTTACAATAAATTTTTCTCTTATCAGCTATGCTATTATATCCAATTGCAATAACTGTTAGGAGACATATTTAAATTTTAGACATACAAAACATACTTCTTGTTTGATGTGCTAGATTTGCATCATAACCAATTAAGTGTTTTCCATTTAATATCCGGGCTGTTCCTGCTGTTTATTCTTTGTTAGCTGCTTACTTAAAAAGCTGCAAGGAGGAGGTTAAGCAATAATCTGAAAAAAAGGGGACCCACTTCTTCCCTTCAATTTTACCTGTTCCCCAGGTAATCTGTATTACACAGGTTCAGATACGTTTGCTGCTTTGAAAAAGAAATGGTAGGTGGGAAGAAAAAAACATAACAAGTTTTAATTTATGCTGTTAACTTCCCTGAAAGCAGATTGACAAAGGAGAAGAATAACAAAAAATAATGCAGAAAGAAGGGGTCAGGAGTTGCTGGTGGTCCTCATACTAGCTGCGTACATTCCCTGTTGAACCACTGCCCATGTAGAAGCAACTCCTAGATGGAGTTCTGTACATGAAAGCCCATGACCCTAGAATACAATATTTTGTAAATTAGTGTTTACCCTCATTAGAGTCTCTATGCTTATTAGTAAATAAGTAAGTAAATATAAATTATTGCAGGGCCAAGATCCCTTGCACTGTATCTTCAGCAAGGACAGTTATTATACAACTATCCAGATATCTGCATCTAAAAAGAGAATCAGTCACTGAAGTCATGTTTCCCAAAGGGACAACAGAAAAATAATGGATTTAATGCTGCATCAAATTGCAGCAATATGAGGAAAGGAAATGTAATTCTATTAAATCAATGAAGAATCACGTAGGGCCTTTTTTTCCCCATCAAATTTATGGCATAAACCTCTGTGGAATAATGTCCATCAGCCATATAAAGAATTTTGCAAGTTGGCAAATATACTAGATATTCTATTCTCTGTTTTTTGTAACATCTCATCTTAGCAGAAGTTCTGGTTAGTTCTAATTATGATATTACCCAACCATAGATTTTGGACAGACAAGAGTATGGTTAAACATAAAGAAAATAACTCATAGGATATGTTCTACCAAAATTAAAGTTAAGCATACGATCCAGTGTCTTTCAGTGACATTAGCAGCAGTAGAAAATTCTAACAAAGGATGTTATTTAGTTTATATATAAAGTCATAAATTCAGACTTTAACAACAAACAGAACACTGTAATAGAATATCATATGATCTTCCAATCATTTAAGATCACATACAAAATATACTATTTCAAATACTTATTAGTTATACCAGTTGTAATACATTTTTTTATTTTCTAGCAGGCTTCACCAAAAGACATCATCTTATTTAGGCTGTGCCAACTTACCTGGGAATAAATCTCACCAAGCTACATGAGACTTATTTCCAAAAAGCCACACATCAGATCAGGGTTGTTATACTCCACTATACTTCTATTTCTATACATACACCCTTGTTATTTTTTAATTCCCCTGAAGTAATTTGGCATGCTGTTATGTAGACAACTCTTATCACAATAATGAAATTATTATCATAATTAAGTTGGGATAATTAAAGAGACATTTGATTTAAGACAGTTTTATAACAAGATGCTCAGGATCTGCACCCCTACCAAAAAAAAAAAGACTATTTCAATATTAACATCTGGGAAAAGGTGGTGATAGATGAAGGACTGTAAACCACCTCAATTTATTATTCCCTCTGGTCAGACAATCATTACCTGTATTAAATTCAGCTAAAGATCAAAAACTAACATATACCACCTCAACAGTATCCAAATTGTGAAAACTATTTCATATATCAGGAAAGTTTACGTGAACAGTAGAGATCATGGAATTTACTGACTTGTCTTCTCAAAATACTGTATTAAATCCAGAAAAGATAGAAAGGTGGTACATTCAAATAAAGTTAATTCTAAATGAACTATACATCCCTCTCATATCCAGGATTTCATGAACTATTTAATAATAAAACACTACCTCCAAACTTAATGAAGCACTAGAAAAGCAAATGATATTTCTCCATTTATGAGAAGACTACTTTAGTCTCCCCTGATGTGGTACCCTCTGCATGTGCTGGGACTACTGTTCTCTGAATTCCAAGCCACTGTGGCTGATGTTTGTCAGAATGGGTAGACTAGCAAATAGATTTTGGTTATATCTGTTTCTCTATGGACAATACAAAATGAAGCATAGGAACATGGGATGTAGTAGTTGTATCTCAGCTAAGTAGTTGTATCAATGAATATCAAATAATTCATTTGTACAGCCAATGCAAAACCATCTCTTAGGTTACATAGATATCCAGTAAGTTTGTGTAATGGTTCAGTTTTGAAGGTAAAAACGGTATTTTGGAGCATGTATGTAGCAGCTCCTCAACTCCTTAAACCAGCTATCTCTTTTTACAAGGTAGTACAGCTGCCCTCTGCAGCTGCAGAGCAATCCTAGGAAAAAGATGCATTTGATTTAAGGAGTTGCAGACACGTGCTGCACAGCCTTAATATATAAGCCAAAGAAAAGGGGGAAATGATAATAATATACCTCTACTTATAGAGTAAAAGACCACCTGAAACAAAGGCAGAGGATTTACACAACTCCCAAAGGCTTATGCATCATTATTAATAGCATGAATTATAGCCATAGCCCTGAAAATGTCTTTATGTAGTCAAGAGTAGGAAATGTACGATTTATTTTAAATATTCAAGTAATCAGTCTCGATAACAAGAACACTCAGAAAAGGCAAATTTAATGTTACAGTTTATGAAATGATCCAGCAAGCGTTTGAGTTTTCCTTAGGCTGTTCTGAAGAGATAAACTTTAAAAAATATTAAAATTACTTAGCTATAAATCAACAGAGATTCTCGGGTGGCTTGTGCAACCATTATACTTACTCGAATCCTCCCATCGGAGAAGATGCAGTTTCCAAGCTGAGTAATACAGAAACCCCAAGACCAGAAAGAGGCAGAGAGCAAGTAGCACGTTACGCATAAACACCAGCAGTCCCATCTTCATATGGGAGTAGCTCTTCTATAAAATCTGGGAGGAAAAAAACAATTTAAGCTTTCTATTTTCAAGTTAGTTTATGTAGCATAAAGGTTAAGATGTTTGAGTAGGACTGGGAAGATCAAAGTTCTGGTCTCCCTTGGTGACTTTGAGTAAGCTACTCTCATTCAGCCCAGACTACTTTGCACAGATGATGTTACAGGGAACAAATGAAGGAAAGAGTCTTATGTATACCAGCTTGAGTTCCTGGAGAAAAGTTAGGATATAATTCTAATAAAGAAATAAAGTCAAAAACCAAGCATGTCTAAACTATCAAAGTATGTTCCATTCCCAACATATACAGTATCCAGACATTCTTATCCATGACACCCCTGAATGGAAGTAAGTGAAATGAACAGAACGCATTTCTGAATAGTTTGCTGCTTTTTCAAGCTTGATTTAGAAATACTACTGCTAGGTATTATTAAAATGTTTAATCTGAGGAACCTGTTCACTACTGAATTGTTTCTCCGGAATATATTATTTTGGTTATTTAAGACAATACCCAAAGCATCAAACAAGTAAATTGTCATGACAAAAAATATTCCACAGAACTAAGAAATGACACTAGAAAATACAATATAACCAGTATCTCTTATATAACTAAACTGAAAATTACTTTAATTTATACAAATTTATAATAACCCATTTCCCCCTTTACTTTAAGTATACCAAAGTATGTGTTATGATGATCCACATTTTCTGGAATTGTACAATAGTATATGGCACTATAAACTAATATTAGCCTATACTGATTTGTCAGATGGTTCTATAGAACCACTCTCATTAGACCCTGGAAAATTAGTATTATATTGCTAATGTCATAATGAAGCGAGAATTAGTGCTTGCTCATAAGGAAGATATAAATCCACCATTCTAGAATGGACTACTAACTTAATGCATGAGTCACTGTGCTTAAATCAGTAGCTCGTCACAAGGATGAGTATTTTGGAGGAATTATTTATCTGCATTATTTTGGAACAGCAAAATACAAACCTAAATCAAGAGACAGAAGTGAGCCACAAGCTTAAATACACCTTCCTTCCTCTGTCCTCTCTTTAGCAAGAGCAGCTTAATTAATTACTTCCTGTTTTGATCCAACACCATTCTAGAATGCTATCTTAAATCCAGCAAACCACAAAAATCCTAAAAGAAGAACTCATGATTAAATGCACACATTAATGAAAGAACAAACAGTGAGAAAGGGAAGCACTCAAGCCTGTTTCATTTTTTTAAACAATTTTCACTGAAAATTTGAAAAGCAATAATAGGAACTAATATACACTAAATAGAACAGAGAAAAGGAAAAGGAAAGAGAGAAATAAAAGCTAAAACTGCAATAAGAAAAAAAGTAGAAGAAAGAAAAAAGAGAAAGATATAAAGAAAGATATAAAGAAGTGGCTTCCAATATTCTTTACAGCAGTTATAAGTACAATTATATTTTAACCTCTCTCTCTAAAGTTACATCATGACTTTCTTCTTTCTATAATCTATCCTGTCTAATCATCAAAACCATAAATCACAAGTAGATTTTTTTTCATCTTTATTCAAAAAGTCCATAAGGGGTTGCCAGGCACCAATAAATGTAGATATTGTCCTTTCTCTAATCAAAGAGGTTAATTTGTCCATCTCAGCAAGTTCTGTCAATTTTACCAACCATTCCTCCGTGGTGGGTAATGATGAATCTTTATGCATATAGTAATCTCACTGCAGTAATCATATACTGAAATATCTTCCATGGCTTTTTTCTAACTGTTTATCCATCCTAAAAGAAAAGTACTGGCTTCAACTGAATATTCATCTTTAAAATTCTCTGTATCAATGTATGCATTTGGATCCAAGCCTGTTTCGCTTCCAGTTCACTATCCCCTGCAGCGAAACACTGTCAGCGAAACACTCTCTGAGTTCACACCTTGTTAAATTACATACTTGTTAAAACCACCAAGGCCAGTATGATGTATTCTTCATTGTGTTAAATTTAGTTTCTCTATTTTATTAGAACTTTT